TGGTTTTGGAAGTGTGCCATGTATACGCGAAGTACTAAACGGTACTAAATTTGGTACAATTTGAATTTGGAGGAATGTACGGAACTGGAATCCTGAAATTAGAAATTAACATTACCGCCGGAGGTAGTTTTGAAAATATGTACATATGTGCATGAAAAGTACTAAATGGTACTATATTTGGATGAAGTGTAGTATTGAGGTGTGGATGTAGTTCTGGAAATTCATACTTATGGGTACTTAATGGTACTAAATTTGCTACAATTTGAGTTTTTGATGGGCCTATAGACGTTGGATCCTGAAATTTGGAGTTGTGTACTAAATGGTAACAAATTTGGATTTGGGTGAACCGATAGAGCTAGAACACTGAATTTTAGAGCTAGAACACTGAAATTTTGAATACTGGAGTGTAGGATTGGGATATGTAGGAAGTTTTGGACATTTTTACTAATGTGCACTGAATGGTCCAATGTGGATTTGGGTGAACCGATGGAGCTGGAATTTTGAAGTTAGGGTCACTGTGGGGTGCAGGATTGGGCTGCGTAGGAAATCTTGGAAATTCAGACTATTGTGTAATAAATTTGGTACAATCTAAATTTTGGGTGAACAGATAGAGCTGGAATTCTAAAATATTGAGTTAAAAATCATTGTTGTGGTGTAGGATTGGGGTGTATAGGAAGTTTTGAAAATTCATACTAATGTGTGAAATGGTACTAAATTTCGTACATTGGTCTGGAATCCTGAAATTGGGAAATATGATTTCTATTGGATTTATATTAATGTATACTAAATGGTTCTAAATTTAGTAAAATTAATATTTGGGTTAACCTATAGAACTCGAATTATGCAATTTGGAATATGTTTTGAAAAGAGTACGAATGGTAATAAATGGTACCAAAATTAGTATAGAGCTAGATTTCTGTTGCGGTCAGAATTGGTGTGTAGTGTTGATATATGGAGATAGTTTTGGAAATACATACTATAAGAGAACAAGAGAACTAAATGGTACTAAAATTTTAATTATAGTCAATATTGGTGTGTAGTGTGATTAGCTCTTCTGATTATGTAGTTTTCTGTGAAAACAAAATAATGTTAATTAATGTTTTAAACATGAATAATTCTCACATTCGCTAACGAAGTTGCGGACATATGCTTGTTTCATATAAATCTTCAAACTAATCTATATTGTTTTCTTTTGCGTAGGCTACATAAATCTAGCCTATAAAAGACACATGTTTCAAACCCCGCAAAATAGAGCAGAACTGAAAGGTTATTAAAAAATCTAATTGGATTGTTCTACATTGAGACTCCAACATTCTAAATTATAATGAATAAAGTTTGAACATTTGGGCAGGTTATAAAATGTGCTGGACCTAGATGGCTATGCCCAAATATGTACATATATTGGATATTCTTTGCAAGGAGGTCTTATAGATTTTGAAAATCCTCTATTTTCTATAAATCATACTCTCCACCAGGAGGTGGAAGATTTAAATATCCGCAAATTTTTCGGGCATTTTTTATATTGCGGCCAACCCATTAGTAATTTTATGTAGGGAGATTTGACTCCGACTAAACACCAGATTAAAGCCACGAGGACAAAATCGAATCGAAAATCAAAACATCGAATGTTGAGTGCGGCGTTTGGAGGACATTCATAACAATGGGTTAATATTGATAATTTTTGGTATGAAGATGTGCTACCCAATGTGAATTCAAAATACCAAAATTATGGGCAATACGTTTGAAAAACATGCCCAACATTACGAAATTTGGGAGGAACCCTTTAATGAGAGACCTTAAAAAGGACAATTTTTTAGTAGGGAGCATTGCTATCTATTGTCAATCCATATTAATATACTCTCCGCCTTAAGGTTGAGGGTATGAAAATCGACCATGGGCTACATCCCAAGATAAGCTGTGAAAGTCCGAAGTGCGTATTATAAATTCCGGCTGGTACCTGGGAAATACTAAACTGCGGGGGTACCTAAGTCAATTTTCATCCACATCGGCTCAACTTTTTATACCCTCCACCATAGTATGGAGGGTATATTAGTTTTGTTTTTCCGTTTGTAACGCATAGAAATAATCATTTCCGACCATATAAAGTATATATATTCTTGATCAGCGTAAAATTCTATGTCGATCTAAGCATGTCCGTCTGTCTGTTGTAATCACTCTAGCGTCTAAACGAATTGAGATAGAACGCCAAAATTTTGCGTCTTTTGTCTGCAGGCAGGTCAAGTTCAAAGATGGGCTATATCGGTCCATACCTCCCATATAAGGGTACACCCAAATTTTCAGTATTTTGGGGTTCTCGAGATTTTTCAGAGATTTTTCAACCAAATTCGCTGATATTTGGTAAAATGTGCTCTTTTTGGATACCAAATTTCTTAACTAAAAATTATAACTTTAGGTCCACTTTTTCTGGTAACCCCCAATTTTCGGTATTTTAAGGTTCCTGAGCGCGTTTTTCAATCGAATTTGCTGCAATTTGGTATTTTGTAGTCGTATATGATAACAAATCTACCCTTTTTGGGGTAGTCCCCATATAACCCCCTTTTTTATATTAAAATAGTTATCTGATTTGTTCCGCGTTTTGAGTTTGGTTCTAAGACCCTTTTGTAATCATTTCAACTGCGGAGGATAGAGAGATAAAAAATTAGAACGTAAGGTTTGATAATGAACTATAGCCGCATTTAGACCTAGTCTCTGTGTAGAGGTTTCAGAAGGAGTGGACCGATTTTACCCATCTTCGAATTTGAACTAAGTTTGGAGAAATAATAAGTATATACACCCTCATTAGCCATAATTCTGAGGGTATAATAATCCATTAATTGTATCCCCCACTGTAAGGATTTCAATTTCTACCTGATATTATACACACTTTGTTCACATACGTATATGTAACCGATGAATATATATGGAGACAAATAGACATAAGTGTGAATTGCATGTTGAGACGCCAGTAACAAATACAATAATAATAACAACTCAACGCTGTTGCTTTGTTGTTGTTGTTATTATTATTTTTTGTTACAAACAACCTTGACAAATTATGTACAAATATGGTAAATAAATTGCAAAACTACTTTAATTGTTGTTTAGCAGCGTTCAGTTTTTGTTTTGTTTTTGTCTCTGCTATTAATCAACAAATGGCCAATCAACAGGGGAAAAAATAAACGCTTAATTCTTAGACAAAAACGGAACGTTCGACTACTTCATGTATCAAGAACAGTGACACTTGTTGCATTAATTGCAATCTGTTGCAGCAATTGTGCTTTTGTGTTCTGCCACGAATTAAAGGAGGGAAGGGCAATGCAATCCTATTTTACATACCTGTCTCAATATTGCATAGAAGACGTCAAGATGTGAGTTTAGATTGATGCCATTTGGGCCTTGTAGGCTTTGGGCTTCGTCGCATTCTCTCTGCTCGTCGAATACGTCCAATTGTACAATAATATCTCCTACACTTTGTGCAACTTTTCTGTAATGGCAAGAAATAAGGGGGGGAAATGATATAAATTATTTCAATTGGATAAAATTAATTTATTTGCATTATAAAATAATAAAATTAGATTTTTTTAAACAATCAAGGTAAACTAAATTTAAGAGAATACATTATTTAGATGACATATTTATTGCATTATTTGCATTGCATTAATTTAATTCAAACGTAAATAAGGTCGGTAGTCAATTTCAAATGGAAAATATTTATAGAGTAAAAAGGAAAAGTCTTATATGATATTTAGTTAGTTCGAAAGACGTCTTTATATATTTGAATATGGATTTTTGTTTAGAAAACTCCATCATCATTCCGGCTATAGTTATGCATGTTAGCTTTTCGATTTGGGAAATGTTGTAATTGTTTACAAAAAAGTCTTGGTCCATTTGACCCTTTATGTATTGATCGATCTTATTCATAACAGTCATGGACGAAATCTCATTTCCCATTCAAAATTAATAATTGTGGCCTCTAGAGCGACAAGAAACCAGTAAGGAATGTTCAAAAGACGGACGGGACCGACTATGATGATATCCTTCACCACTCTGCTCTTATCGCAAGGTACAGTAATACCGATGTAAACAAACAACAGTATACGTCTTTCTCTAAAATTTTTAGTTGCATATGTACTACGTTGCATGAAATAGGAACGTTGCATGAATCTATATAGATATATTTTAACCAGTGAGCGGAGCAGTATAGTAGTACAGGGCCGACCATATGATACCCTACACAACTACCACAAAAATCAAACTTTCTGCGGTTCTATATTCTGAGCCTGGGCAATATTTCGAGATATTTGCATCCTTTCTACCGATTATAGATCAAAAACTTCACCTTCTAACACTGGCATATATTCCAATTTTTTTTTTCTTGAAGTGAAATCTAAACTTCACCGAAAACTATAGGCGTCGTCCTTGACCATAATCGGAAGTTCCTGTACAATTTCCAAGCTATCTGCGCGACATTTCCGTCCTCTAATGGAGTAATAGTAATACTATGCACATATTCACCTTTACCTAATTACGTATAACTCCCACATCAGAGTACATGCAGCCATAAGTTTGATATCAATTTGAAGGTCAACAACTCCTCTTGGATATACTATCAACTTCTCGGATGTATGTCCTTCAGGGGCAAGTATATACGCACCACAATAAAAATTTTGTAATTTTTCACACAAAAGTCAGGATCCATTTGACCCGCTAAATATTGACCGATCTTTATCAAAACCGGCATGATTATTCTTTGGCACAATACTCTTCTTTCTTCGATGTTCGGACCATAACTGCGGCCTCTGGAGCGACCATAAAAACCGACAAAAATAAAGTATTTGGTCCATTTCAACCCTCTAAATATTAACCAATCTTTACCAAAAACAATAGTGGTCTTCATTGGGCCGAACCTATCCTCCATGCTAAATTTGGTGAAAATTGTTCCATAACTGTGGCCTGTATCGTGTTTACAAATTATAATGGACAGGCGGACGGACGGACACACATGTCTCGATCGACTCAGCTAGTCGAAATATGACGATCGGTATACTTAAAGGTGGGTCTAGGACCAATATTTCGCGGCGTTATAAACTCTTGGGGCTGCACAAAGCTATAATACCCTGACAACATAGTTGTGTAGGGTATAATTAATCCATACATATGTCATTCTGAAATCAATGCAAATTTTTATGTACCAGAGCTGTATGCTGCTGCAATACAGCGCTTTGTTAGTGGATGTGAGAATTATTTAAATATGTCTACAGTTAATAAGGTTTAATACCAATAAATATGAATTTCCAAAACCGATCCTACATTCCAACAGCAATCTTATTTCCGAATTTCACTGTTCTCGATCTAACGGTTCACCCAAATACATATTTGGTACTATTAGTACAAATTTCTAAAACTTCCTACATACCCCAATCCTACACCTTAACAGTGACCCTAACTTCAAATTCCTGGATTCCAGCTCTATCGTTTTCCAGCAAAATCCAAATTATACCAAATGTAGTAACATATAGTACTTTTCGTGCACATAAGTACATATTTCCAAAACTAAGTTAATCTTAATTTATTATAAAATTTCAGGATTCCAGCTTCATCCGTTGCTCCAAATTCAAATTGTACCACATTTAGTACAGTTAGTACTTTTCGTATACATGAGTACACGCTTTCAAACCTATCTCCTTATATTTCAAACCTACCTCCTACATCTCAACCTAGATTCGCATTCCAATGTTCAATTTTTTAGCTCTATTCGTTCACAGGATATGAAATTGTACAAAATTTAATACAATTTAGTACTTTTCGGATACTTATATTTCGGATACATATCCTACACTTTATCAATAACCTTCAATCCAAATTTCAGAGTTCTAGCTCTAACGGTTCGCTTAATGCAAATAATACCATATTTAGCACTTTTTAGTAGTTTTCGTTATGTTCTAGTACGAATTTCCAAAACCCCAGCCTTATCTGACACTTTGGACCAAGAGTGACCTCATCCCAACTTTCAAGATTCTAGCTTCAGCCGTTTCGTCTGGGCGTTGATGAATCGTTCGGTCAGTCAGTCAATCACTTTACTCTTTTATTAATATAGATGTATGGGAGCTACAATTAAATCTAAACCGATTTCAACGAAATTTAGAACACATCATTTTAAATTCAGATTAATACGATACACACAATTTCATGTAAATCGAAAGTAATATAATAGTTTTGGACGAAAATGCATTTAGGAGCTATATCTAAATCTGAACTGATTTTCTCCAATTACAATAGGGTTCGTCCTACGGCTAAATAAATTAGCTGTGTCAACATTTATCTCATTCGGATCATACATTGTTTACAATTTAACATGGACATACATGCAGACGGACTGACATACATATATCTACACAGAAAGTTGTTCTATGCATATTCTCAACAGGAACCATCCGGTCGATCTCGTTTCCTTTTGCCCTGTTACAAATGTTCTATGAATATATACATACGATGTAATGTGAATAATTCAAATAAATAACCTGGAAGGCCTCAACTCCAATTTGTACTTAAATATTTTGCTACAAAAAATAGAATTGCGTATCCAATTTCTAAAATAAGTGATGTTCCCAATTTTGAAGGGTACCATATCTACAATTCTAGTTCATGCATTTTTACTTTGTGACTTGTCTTATAATATTAAAATTACACGGTTGGAAAAATTCAATATAAATGAAAAAATATAACGATTTATAAAAAATGGATGGCGTCAGGCGACTAAAGCTACTAGAAAAATTAATTCATTTGCCAGTCCATTGAACATTCGATTTTGGAAGCATCTAAATATGACATTCTTTCAACCAAAATGACCGTTTACTAAAACCCATTTCATATTGCTACTAACTATTTTAAAAAAAATCCTTGACTGGACATCAATGGCGTCTGTAGGGGCCACAGCAAAGCATCAATGTCTTCCTCTTCAGTGCACTTGAACTTTTATAACCCGTTCTTTTTGGGGCGAAATTCTCATTTATCGCTAAAAAAACTTTAAATGAGGGTGTCATTTATAAACAAAATAAATTGGTGTGTTTTTGTCGGCAAAACAGAATTTGATGACAGCTGAAACTTTATTATAGTCATACGTCTAGCCGAGTCATAAAAGATAGAATCAAAAAGTACAAAAACGAACTAAAAACAATCGCACACATTCACAACGGCAAACAATAACACAGAGACGATGAGGCTAAAGGAAAAACTTACTTAAGATTTGCCAATAAACTGAAATCTCCACTGAAGTTGTATTTGCTCAAGGAACAACAAAACGCGGCACAGCCGAGACGTTGTAATGTTGATGGCTCCACGGCACAGCCTTTGTTGGTAGTGGTGTTGTCCGCAAGGACGGAAACAACAGCAGCAGTAGCAGTTTTTAGTTTTGTTTATTTTGGTAGCGGATCCTCTTATTGTCTGTCTCGTGTCGTCGTATTACTACTGTTGAATAGGGTCCTTGGCAATCGCTTTGAGTTTGACGCCAATCACAACAACAACGACAATTATCTCACAAAATAAATATTATACACTATCAGACTTTGCACTCACACTATAGCAGTTGCAGATTTGCACACTACTCCTTATATACATACACAACGCACTCACACACACACATCTATACAATATTTCTTATGAAAGGATTTTCGGTGTGTGCATAGCAGCACATGGTGCAAGAGGTCGTTATAATAAAATTAAAACAGAAAATCAAACAATTCGCCTATTTACGTCACAACATAGGATTTGTCTGCAACGGTTTTTTTGTGATTTCAATTATTAATTATACCGAGGGCGAGAGTACATCCATTAAAAACAAAATAATATTTTGGTCCACAATTAAAAATCACTACAACTTGTCATTTGGGTATTTAAGAGGAAATACTGCATTTTGAAATTTTCTTTTCTGTTGGCCATTACAAAAACGAAGCGATTTCCTTTTCTACTTATTTGGCTTGGTTCTGCATTTCTCGTTGGAATTGTGAACTTTATTATGTTTCGTCATTATACCGAACCGCAAGATATAAATACTCTGCATGCACCCTTACTACTGACATGACTAAGGCCACTGCTGAAATTTCCTATTTTTAATTCGTCTTCGTTATGGATGTTTCGTGCTTTTGGGAGCCTGTCTACCAAACAAAAACAACTATAACAACATTGCTAAAGTCAGCGTCGACTCCTTTCAACTGACAGCAAACATTTATTGGTCGGTCGGTAGGTAGTATGAAATTGGTGTTATGTTGTTGTTTTGACCCATAGCCAAAAACTGTTGGTGGTTTGGTGTATTTTCAAAATACACGGTAGAAAATTAGGTTATCAACTTTTACACAAGACTATTTTGAATAAGATCCTTGCCATAGGGCAGAGATTTGTAATTGATGTCCACTCCAAACAAAAAATCTATTATATGGAACCTGCCTGCAAAAAAAAAAAAAAAAAACTATCTGGAGCTACCTTGAA